TCTCTGGAGCTCTCTCCAGCCCAGCCAAACGCCAACATCGATAAACCTCAGGATGCACCTAACCGGAGCAAGAAGAATTGTGTATCTCAAACCTCAACAAAGCCTAAGAAAGAAGGAAATACTGAAACTGAGGCAGGCAGAGGGTCAATTTCTACTATAGATAGTTGAGCTTGTCTACTATCAGGCTCATGCTAAAGACTCTGCTATCTTTCTTTTTCTTTCTCTTTCTCTCTCTCTCTCTCTCTCTCTCTCTCTCAGTAAAACATACAAACCCCTCTCTGGGGAGGGAATTAATCACTTCCTGTGACATCTGTCACCTCCCAACTTGTAAGATGTGGCCCCTCCTAGCAACTCCAGCCAACACGTACCAACACCAGCAGAATTTAGGTGCACATTAAAAGAACATGCACGTACCACTCATTTCACTTTTCGGCAGAGGCATCTTCTTTGCCATCGTGGAGAAAACTAGGAGAAACTGAACAGGGTGGGCACACATAAATAAAGAAAATTGCTGAAGAGTAAGCGGTACCTGACTGCTGGCTGGAGTCCCCTGGAGCCTGTGTGGGCAGGACTACCTTCCAGGCTCTCACACAGAATCTGAGACAGAGTCACAGGGACCCGCTCCCATACCACCCCCTGCAGCCTGGGCCGGCCTCCTCAAGATGTCAAATCCCAAGAGAGGGCGGAGTGGGGGTGAAGAGCACACATCTCCCAGGGATCAGGCTGCCAGGATGTAAAGTGAGCTGAAAATAGCACGTGGCGACAACACAAACAGTATGTTACCGTTTGTTCTGCAGAAAATACAAAACAATCACATGTCCACATGTACATATGGAAAAGCACAGGGCACTCCAACCACACAATGACATTAAGATGGCGGGGTGCTGTACATGCATTAAAATAACTGCCAAGAAAAAGCATTTCAAATTTAAAAATAACACAGTGGAGAAGGCACAGCCTGACTCCAACTGTGTAGAATGTGCACATGCACATACATAAGTAAAAAGAAGACAGAGCTCCCCGAGTCTGGGCTTCTGTTGCTATGGAGTTGGTTTAAAGTGCACTCAAACAATATAGGCCATGGGGAAAGTGCTTATATTTCAGCATCTAAAAAACATACATAATTCATTTTCCTGCAGAAAAAAAACCCTGGAGAATACCCGCTGAACTGCTGACAAAGGCTGACTGGTTAGCCTGGGGAGAGAACGGGCTCAAGAAAGTGTCTTAATCCATTAGGACTGTCACAACAAATTACTGCAGACTGGGTGGCGTACAAACAGCAGAAATTTCTTTTCACAGTTCTGCAGACCCAGATCGAAACTGGCACATTCGGAGCCTGACGAGGGCTCCCTCCCTGCTTCACAGCCCGTGACTTCTCACTGTGTCCCCACATGGTGGAAGGGAGCTCTCAGGGGCTCGTTTAAAGGGTGCTAATCACACTCATGAGGGCTCCACCCTCATGACTTGCTCACCTCCAGAAGGCCCACCTCCCAATACCATCACCTTGGGGATGAGGTTCAACATATGAATTTTGGGGAGACACAATCTATAACAGGAAGGCATTTTCACATACTTTTTTTACTTTGTAACAAGATTTCTATACTATATTGATGTAATACTGATATGACCAGAAAGAAAGAGCCCGTGGGGACACACACCTGACCCCCGTTCCCCACCTTACCCTTCTACCCACCAGTAGAAAACCTCTCCTTTAACTGAAGGTGGAGGCTTCCCCCCTACTGCCATCCTTCGTAGAGAAGCAAAACTACAAAGACCATAAAAATGTCAGTATCTTTGCCATATTTGTCATCTAAATGTCAGAATGTCAACATCAATAGCTGTCCGATGTCCCCTCTATTTCTCCCTACGGCCACCCTAAGGGAGGGACACTGGGCTCAGGCTAGCCCAAACCTCGTTCCCCACCACCTGGCCTCTTGCCAGCCCCATTCCCAGGCCAAGCAGGTCACACCCTCCCGCCCACCCTCACCCTGGTCCCCTGCCCCTTTCATAAAGATACCATTTGGTAAATCCCTGGCAGTTCATTTCCCACTAATTGTCACGGCATTAGCATTCTCTACTCTGCTCCCAGATAAATAAATAAAAACCAATACCCAGCTCAGGAAGACGTTTGATGCACCCAAAGTTAACAAAGCCACAGAGGCTTCAACCGAACAGGCTGTGATGAGTAAGACCCTTTTCATGAGCTATATTTTGCTTCAGCTCCAAAAGGGGGGCAAATACATCTGAAAGGCTGAATGAAGCGGCAGGGGAGTCAGAAAACAGAGTCCCTTATTAACCATTTCCTTCCCACCAACCCAAGAGTCTTGCTGCCCTTTGGGTCCTGAATCTATAAAGATATTCAGGGTGAGCGGCTCTGGGGTTGGCGGGCAGTGCAGCAGTGCAACCGCTCTTTGAATGGAGAAGGGCAAGGGCTCAAGTCAGGCAGGCGTTGCTACAGAATCCCTCCAGCCACACCTCCACCCTACTGGCCTTCCTCACTGCTCATTTCTCCAGGAAGTAACGCAGAGACTGACTCGCTCCCTCTCACCCCTCAAACTCCACGCACTGCCCCAGCGGACAGGGCTCCAGCCAAAGCCTCTGCTCTCACAATTTCCTCCTCTCCGCAGGCCATCTGCTGAACGGAGGGGTTTTATCATAAGGTGGAAAGTACCAGAAATTGAAATGATCTCAAGCTGAATTTGCCCACAGAACTCCCCACGGCCTCCAAAGCCACTGCCTCATAAACTCCCAGAAGAGTGGCCATTGTGAAACCAAATTCCAGCCCCCAGAAGACTACACTCCCAAGGGCACTCGGTCAGTGCTGCACGACCACGCAGACTCGAGATCAAAACCCATTAACCCAGACTCCACGAAGCCCCTCCATAGATCCAGGCCGCTGCCCTGAAGGGAAGCCTTTACTCCGTCTCAGAGTGATGGTGGACAGACTGTGTGTAGGGCCTCCTCTTCGATGGCAACATTTGTATTCAGTGACCGTGGCAATTATAAATAATTCTTATCTATTTATAAGACCCTCTAAGACAAATTCCCCTTCTCATACCAACAACTGAATTAATTTCTTTCAAATGGCCTACAATAGAAACTTACTGTCAGGATGATCTTTCTGCCAATTAGCGGGGTTCTGGGCGTTAATGATTACTATGCCCTTTCAGACCCTTTCATCCTCTCTTCAGATGTTCCTCCACTATTCCCAAGCCATTCCTAATTTTCTTTATAGTCCATCCAAGACTCTACCCGCTGGGATCATCTTCATATTCAAAGCAGACATTAGAACAAGCACTAAACAAAAGGGTTCAAGAGAAAGGCCCTGCTGTACAGAACAAATTGGCAAGTGACTGGTTACCCTGCCCAGAGAAAACCCCTACACTCAGATGGCTGATCAAATACACCTGCCCCCAGCATGCCCCCCCCCCAGCAGCAGTGAGAGGTGACCCCTCGTGACTGCAAAGAGCCCTCTGCAAGAGACTGTCCTAGAAGCCCAGCAGGGCCCAGATGGGAAGGCAGAATGAGACCCAGCAGGGGCTTGAGGAGCTGCTGAGCCAGCCCCTGCCTGCTGGTTGCGAGGTAAGGCCAAGGACCCACAAGATCTTCCTGCCAAGAGCAAGTTCACACATTCCCCAGGGAGATTTGAGAGCACAGCACAGCAGCCCACACTGAGGACTGCTCAAAGCTATTAGCACGCAGCAAGGGAGCCCAGGGTCCAAGAGGCCGCAACTGAGAGCCATTCAAGCTTTTGATGAAAAAAAAATGACATCATGGTTTCTCCTCCGAGACTATATCATGGCTCCCCAAACAACAATCACGTCCAGCTGTCTGGTCCCTAGAGTGGTCCTTCTACGACATGAGTAATCCATTTCTTGTCAGCATCAGGGCCAAGTGCCAGGAATTCTTTCCTTTCTTTCTCCAGTTGGGAATTTTGGGCAAGAAAGAAGGCAGGTAGGCAGGGATGAGAACGTCAGCAGCATCCTTCCACTGGTACCTGTCCAGCTGAGTCCAGCAAGCCTGACCCAATCCGCGAGTACTCTCATGCAAGAGAACAAACGGCCTTTGACCCCCATTGTCCCTCAAAGGGTCTCTCCTGTGCCTCCTCCCTCTCTGGGACAGCAGAGAATCCCAGCACCAGCTGAGGTCTCACAGCAGCTCCTGATCCCTCTAGACTTGTGGGGTGTGTCCCCACAAGTCTGACAGGGTCTGACAGGCTGCCCGTGCCTGCACTGGGTTCTTATTGACATTGATCCCTCTCTACTGATGGCAGCGCACACAGACCACCCTGTTATAGACGCTATGGCCTTTAGCTATAATCTCACAGCCTGGCCTTGACTCTCTCTCTCTCTAGGGATACAGCCAAACTTCCGGCTACAGTTCTTATCGTGCTTCTTGGCACATGCTCATTCCCCAAACCCAACCCACCAGGCCTACTCTGGTACCCTGTCAGAGTTTTTCATTTTGACTTTGCAGCCACTAAAGGGAGTTATCCTCAACTTACAGGAAGGAGAAGTGGAACCAAGGGAGACACAGGCAGTGGATGGCAGAAGCAAGCTCCGCCCAGAGCCCTGTTGCCCAGACTCCCTCCCTCATCCTCCTCTAACAAGCCCTTGTTGATGTGATGCTTTGTCAATGGCCTTATGCCACCATTGGGTATGTCGTCATCTCCCAGGTGGCATCTTAAGTTCCTTACGGGTCAGGACCATGATCACGGTCACTCACTTCTCCCAGTTCCTGGGTCCGTTCATGTACACAGAGTCACACAGCGGGTAGTCAGTGGCACTCCACACTTACAATAAAGTCTGACATTTAAAATCTGAACTTAGCGAAATGTAACCAAGGGGATGATTAGTCATATTACCAAGAGCTTATTTCCTTTTAAGAAAAATGTCAAATTCAATTCCTCTACATAAAAGCCCTAAATGACCTGTTTCGACATCACTGGCTGTTTAACACAGGCACGATGGGGTCTGTCCCGTTTCAAGGGTGGCACTCACCAGCTGAGGCATCAGGAGGTCGGCCACGTAGACGAATGCAGCTCCGAGGGTGAAGCCAACAGCCACAGGGAAGAAGGCAAAGGCACCAAAGCCCCCAGAGGACATGGCCATCTCAACCGCGGGGGCCAGGAGGGACCAGTAGGAGGCTGCTAACATGACCTGCAAAAAGTGAGCAACAAACTGTCAAACCAACTACAGAAGACCTCCCAAGTGGGGGCTTCATTGCTCTCCGTGGACCAAACTGAACTGTACAATTTCACATGTTAGGTCTTTAACCAAAAGCCACATCAGAATTCCTGAAATTAATGTTGTAAGTACTCAACCTGGGGTCGAATGGAGTTGACCTGGAAGGATGGAGTCTGATTTGCTGCCATCTAGCCTCTGCTTCAATGGTTCTCAACCAGGGGCAATTTTGCCCTCCAGGGCAAATATCTGCAGACATTTTTCATTGTTACACTAGGCACATCTAGTGACTAGAGGCCAGAGGTGCTTGTAAACATCTACAATGCATAAGTCCTGAGAGCAAAGAATTAATTATCTGGCCCCAAAAGTCAATAACGCTGTTGAGAAAGCCTGTTCTAACTGAATAAATACCTCCAGGATACATTGCTTCATAAGCATAAGCCACTGCATGGTAAGACAAAGGCCTACCTTACATTCAGTGGGAAATTCTCTCCCTTCCACTTTTACATGTTAGCCCTAGCCCTGCTTTCTCGAGCAGCAAACACTGTCTCTCCTCTGTGATGCGGGATAGCCTTGGAAATATCTGATGAAACTGGGACTCAATGTCAGCTTGGTCTCATCGATTTATGAATCTCTAAAAAGGAAGAAGAGAACTAACATTTATTGATCACCTTCTATTTCCAGGGAGCAAGTTTCACATTTGCTATTTTATCATCACAAAAATCCTGAGAGGTAGATACTGCTTTCTCTTACTATTTGTAGGTAAAGAAATTAAATCTCAAGGTCATAAGATAATTTGCTCAAGGTTACACAGCTAACAAATGGCAGATTCAGGGAACTGAGCAAGCAGGACCATAATCACCTCGACGAGGGGACAAAGACAAGCACAAAAGAGAGAAATGAAGCTAGACCCAGATCTCAGTGAGGTCAATTCAATACAAGAGTCTCCAGTGTTTAGCAAATTGAACACTCATGCACAGTCATTGACTCCTATAGATGCAGTGGCATCTTCCCGGCTGGAGTACACCCACTACCCTTCACAACAATACGACAGTCATCACTGACATGTAACATGTTGAATGGGTTTCTAAAAGTGACTTAATTATGCCTTGTCTTCAAAAAATACATCTGCATCACCCATCTCCAAAATAACCCGCAAAGTGAGAGAACCAAGCGTTACAAAAGTAATGGGAAAGAACAGATCCGTGCAAAAGTGACTTCCCTCCTGCCGGCCACCAACCACACAGTCAGCGGCTCTGGGCTAGATTCTCCCAGAAGAAGTCTTAGCGCCACTCCTAGACGATTGCAAATACTTCGGAAACTCCCAGAAAGAATGAATATGTCTCATCAGGTCAGCTCCATGACACCACTGAAGAGAGCTTATTCCCATATCATTCGCCATTTTGAAGTCTCCAGTTTGGTGGCACTAACCACCTCCAGAGTGTTGTACAATCCAAACCTTTCCCACCATCCCAAACAGAAGGTCTGCTAACTATTAAGCAACAACTCCCCATTTTCCCCTCTCCCCAGGTCCTGGTAACCTCTATCTACTCTCCATCTCTATGAATTTGCCTATTCTGGGTATTTCATGTAAGTGAAACCATACAGTATTTGTCCTTTCGTGTCTGGATTATTTTACTTAGCATAACGCTTTTCGAGGTTGATCTGTGTTGTAACAGGTGTCAGAATGTCACTCCTTTTTGTGGCTGAAAAATAATACTCCCTCTATGAAGCTGTGACTACTGAACTAACCTGAAAAAAATATAATGTATCCCTAGCATAGGATGAAAGTAGGGATAAAAGAACCAGATCCTCATCTTCCACACTAGAAAATCATTAGATATGTTTAAAGCTGAAAAAGTCAAGAAGTGCCAAAGTAATTGATACAGCTGAGACATGTGGAGTCAAAAAACTGAAGAAACAGCTAAAACAGCTGCTCACCCTTATCCTGAGAAGCAGGAGTCAGGGGTGGGGAAAGCCAGCAGACTCCTGGTTTCTGTTATAAACCCAGTAGAATAACCTGACTTTTTAAACTATATGTGCGTATCTTTGAGGGGAATTTTTAAAGAAACTGAAAATATTATTTGAAAATATATAAAAGGAAATATAAGTAAATTTACCATGTGACATAATTTTTTTGTTTTAATAGTAGGACATCTTTATTTCACAGTGAAAATTCAATGAAGGGAAATGCTCCTGTTTACAATTCAATTTCCAGAAATATTTCTGCCTGATAGAGATACCCAACTAGACTGTGTTTTTTTGTTAAATGCACCTAATTCAGTCTTGACACCAGAAAATTGAAAGGGAATGGAGGAGACATTTTAAATGAGCAGATAGTGCTGGCTGGTGTGCCTCAATTGATTGAGTGCCACCCTGTGAACCAAAAGGTCGCCAGTTTGATTCCCAATCAAGACACATGCCTAGGTTGTGGGGCAGGTCCCAGTTGGGGAAGTGAGAGAGGCAAGAGATTGATGTATCTCTCATACATTGCTGTTTCGCTCCCTCTCCTTCTCCCTCCCTTCCCCTCTCTCTAAAAATAAATAAATAAAACTCTTTTTAAAAACCTGCAGATATTTTCAAGCTCTGAGAGAAAATCCCCCATTTCCCTTCAGTAATTCACCAAACCTAGCAAAACTCGTATGATCCTTTTTCTGAAAATATCATGCAAACTACCACAGGGATCCATACTTTATAGTGCTATTACTTTCCCTCTGTGTCAGAGGTACCAGCACAGAATAATCAAAAACAATAAGCTAACTCCCTAGCCTACAGCAGGCAAATCTTTTCATTTCTGCTTAAGTGCTCATTTTGGGACCATTTCAGCTCTGAAAATATAAATGAATTGGTGAAGAGTTCCTTAAGGAACACATCAGAATATCTGGGCATGATGGGGCCAGTTAAGCATTTCTTTTATGACAGTAATGACAGCTTAAAGACTAGAAGGAAATCCAAGCCACAAAATAAAATGCTCCCCTTAATAAAACAGGGAGGGAAGAATACTGCACAGCGATCACTTACAATGCACTGAATATCAGCACCCACATTCAATGATAATGTCTCTATAGGTAAGGCGTGTGTGTAAAAGTCCACAGAAGACAGAACACAGAGTTCAAAACATCAGCACCCAACTCAAGGCCTGCTCGAGTGGGTCCTCCATCAATGTTTGTTGAAGCAAATGAACATGGGCTCTAACCTCAAGGCCACTGTATAATTAAGGAGTCCGCACAAACTTGCAATCCTTATCAATCAAGGCAATAATTACTCTGAAACTACAGAAGCCAAGGAATACATCTAACTCTGTCTCCAAATCAGATATAAAATTAATTTGTAGAAGTCAATTAATAAGTACCCAATTAGTGACTATTACACAACCAACATTACACTGGGTCCTAGGGGGCTGAGAGAGAAGAAAGACACAAAAGCTGATCTGGGTCCTGCCTCTGAGGACTAGGCTATGTGCCATCGTAAGGGAGACTACAGAAGGTGTCTGATATGTAGGAGACCGTTCTGCGTGGCGTGGGCCCAGCCCCGAGTGGCAAACATTTACTGCAAAGTAACTTCCTAAAATCCATGCTAAACCTTCCAAGGACAAGTGTGACCGGTTCAACCACTTTTGCCCTTTTCATTGCAAATATCCCTCTTTGGTGATGTGATTAGTGGCACTGGCTCCTTTGTTTTCTGTAAAAGGTAACCACCTAAAACAACCTGTACATAGTAAATGAGGACCATCCTATAATATGCCTGGAGACACTGCTGGCTGTGTCCGCATCATGATATGATAAACAGAGAAGGTATCAGAACTGACAGATGAGTTCAAGTTGGTGGTCATTCCAAGTAAGGAGATGGCAACACTGTGACAAAATAGAACATCAAAGAAAACACAGTGGAGAGCACTAGAAAGTTGGACAGGATTTGGAAAGGAAAATGGGGCGGGGCCTTCTGGCTGGGAGGAGCTGCAGTGTGAGCAGTCTAGTGAGCAAACCTGCCAAAGCTGATGATGTAAGGTGACCAGCCTGGCTGAAAAGCAGTGTGCTGGGGTACAGTAAGATGGTGGGGTCTAATTAAGAAGGCTGGCAGAACAGTTTGGACTTCAGACAATAGGTGAGTTGTTCACAACTCTGGCTGCACAACCAGAAGTGCCTAGAGTTTTTGAAATACAGAAGCCATGGCCCCTTCACAACCCTACTGAAACAGGTTCTCCCAGATAGGAAACCAAGAGCCTGGCTGCTGGGTTACTGACGTAACCTACGTAGGAGGCAAGGTAATAAGGCCTGATCAGAATGGAGGCAGAGGGACAGCGGAGAAGAAAGAAATATACATGCAACCCTACAGGACAAGGTCGCCCGTGCCCACTCAACATTGAGTCACCCATCAGAAAGCCTAAGGGGTGGCCATAGGAACCATGCAATGAGTCAGCTTTCCAGTTTGGCATGTCAAGTATTAGTCATGTCTCAAGCATGAATCAAATTCATATGGGGGCTACCTCTGCACCTAATTCGCCTTCATCGAACAGTCCTCATAATATACCAGCTTCACACAATTTTATGGAATTAAACCTAACAGCTCAAAATAATAATTTACATTCAGCTTCAATTGTCATTATTAATTGATGCAGATCTGCTTAACAACCTGACTCTTGTTAGCTACACCTACCCAGTGAAAGTGAGGAGCAGGGGCTTGGCCTACAAGTTTGTATGCACTCTCCAAACTAAGAAAAAGTACCTGAGCCTAAAAAAGAAAGTCTGGACTTCTGGCCAAGATGCAGGTGTAGGTAGACACACTGTGCTTCCTTGTACAACCAAAAGAAGGATAACAACAATTTTAAAACAAAAAACAACCAGAACTGACAGAAAATCAAACTGTATGGAAGTCCAACAACCAAGGAATTAAAGAGAAAACATTCATTCAAACCGGTAGGAGGGGTGAAGATGGGCAGCTGGGTGGAGAGGACTCATGGCAAAGCCACACCTGGC